AAAAAAAAAAAAAGTAATGTCAAAATCAAACAACTTGGATACCTATTTCTTTTGGGGAAAAAAGCCACCAGAACAGTATACAGAATATATTACATTGTATACGTTTGTGTTTCAAAATAACAGAAGTAGTATTCTCAAGGACTCATATAAGGGGAGCCAGGCAAGTTTGAAATAGCAAAAGGTTACAACACAACCAAATGAAGGACAGTATGAAACAAAAGAACTGGGAAAGAGAAAACATCAGAAGGTATTTTTAAGGTTAGATAGTCTTTCCTAATCTGAAAAAGGATAAAATGCATCAGAGGTTAAGATGAAAAATGTACAGCAAGTCAGTTTTAAAGACATGGCAAAAATGGGGGTAAAAATCACACAACAATGTAAGAAAGAAACAAGAAGGGGAAAACTAAATATATAATAAGTTTATGGAGCATTAAGAAGTAAGTCATGGGAGAATTTTTCAGATTTTAAAAAAAGTTTTCATAATAGAAATGAATTGGTACAAATGTGTTTTTCACTGATACTTCTTAACAGGGAAGTACTTTTTAAACTGATAATTCAATTGCAAGGGTCTAAAAAATTGACTGTTTGAAAGACAAAGAAAATATAAAAAATTAAATATTACAATAGGAGCATTTCATGTTTCAGAGCAAACACTGTCAGGTCCATAAAAGTAAATTAAATTATCCATACCAATATAATTAGGAATTGCATCATAGGAACTTGGTATGAAGTGGAAATGAAGAGAAAACTTCCCCGAACAGAGTAGCATATAAGCAATTGAACAAGTAACGAATTGTCATTAAAAGTAATGTCTTCTTAACACTATCACAAAGCCTCCTAACCTGCTCCTTTAGAGAAGTTAAATACATCATCTATGGACCCCTGTCTCCATATACTATGACCAGTTCACATGAACAAAGTGTTAACATGCGAGCTAGTCTTAACACATTTTGCTTTTCTGTTACATTACATACATCAGAAAAAAATATTGATAATTTATTAGCTTGTTTGAATGAATTCTTATAAATTTATGGTAGACTTTTATAATGGTACTGGGAATATAATCAATCATATATTTTGAAAGTGCTAGATTTTATCAAAAGGAGGAGAGGGAATATCATGAATAGACAAGAGACACAGTATTTCTTCTTTACGATGAGCACCTAGCTTCTGGCATACAGGAGGAAGTTGGATGTAATGGTTTAAGTCCTCTTTCCTTTATAGCCTTGACCTATTCTGAAGTGTAGTCAATGGAAAGAGAACTTCTATTAAAACGATCTCAAAAGTCTACACTGCTTCCAGGTTACAAGTCCCATCATGCATCACAGGCCAAATATATCCCAGGTAATGGATGCATGGCAAGCTTAGAGCAACTGATGACTATGTCTAGGGCTATACATTTAGGAAGAAGTAAAACTTGAACTGTCAACATGTCCAAACACAGGAACTGCTGACTGTTGCTCATTTAAAAGCTTAATGTGGCTTACACTTACCTGAGCTTCAGTTTTCTTTTCTAATGTTTTTTTTCCCCTTTACCTATTTCATTCATCCTCTGACCCCCTTCTCCTATGGTAACCACTAGTCTGTTCTTTGTAGTTTAGTTTTGTTAGTTTGTTAATTCTTTCACTTAAAATATAAAAAAAAGCTATTCCAAAAGGAACTCTAAAGGAGTTGAGGCCTTTCTGCTTTGACCTTCATCAAGTAAACACATAAACTCAGTTTTAATCAGAAAACTGATATCTAGAAAAACTCCATTGTATAAGCATCTACTGAAAAAAAAGAATTTTCTGTAGTACTAGCTAAAAGAATGTAGTCTAAAATTCATACAATTATTACAAACATGACAATCTTAAAGTTCCACTTACTTTGCAAGTTTCTCTTACAAATGGAAAATTGCCTCACCTTCATCCAAAGTAATTAAGTAACTTCGTAAGTGCTTCATGTCTATAGATCTCTTTAATAATTTCACTGATTCATTATTATACTTAAGGAATTTTACTTTGAAGTCTAAAATAGCTCCTTTGTGAATAAAAGGTAAATGCATGTTTGAAGGAGTAATGTGTATTGTGTTCTTTGAACAATGGTGACTTTTAACTTTGGCCCTGAACTCACGTGGAGGTTCCCACTGCACAGGTTCGCTTGGAATCTAAATTCAAAGAATCAGAATTCGGTATTGGACAAATAAAGGGAAGATCCAATTCTGTGTGTCCTCAAGGTCAAATTAATTACCAAATAGTAGTGATGGAGTATGCATACTGCCTGAAACCAAAGGCTAATGAGATGTGGTCTGGGTGATGACGTCTTTAGACGTTTGTCATTTTCCCTGCAAGCCCACCATAATGGTCTCTCAAGCCTATTCAGACACCTGCCAACTGTCTACGTCAAGACTTCTTTCAAACGATCACTTCCTTCCTATAAGTTAATTTTAAGATATGAACAAATCCCCTCCTGCACCTAACTCAAAACTGTATTTTCCCCTCTCCTTCAAGCAAGGGCGCTATCCATGACTTACATTCTACAATTCAAAAGGGGCAATTTATTAATGTTCTTTTCTTTATGACACTAGCACAATTAAGTTTTATCTACTCAGAAAGACCCACAGCTAAAAATGATAATATCGACATTTATTTGAAAAATTATTTTAAAACTTCAAAGTCATCCCATCTTTCTGTTTTATTTTTCACAGTGACATCTCGGGATCTTCAAAATGAAAACTAAGACACACTGTACAGATTGGTCTGCCCTTCACCAAACTGCAATTATTCATGTAACAAATACCTTGCTTAGCCTAATACGTACAAAAATGTGCACTGTACATAAATGTCACTGAATGACGCCCTTTCTCCTCTACATGCACACCGGTGTCAAAAGCACGCGATTTTCTTGCATACTTTCTCCATTCCCCTTCATCCCCTTGGTAAATCGCCCACCCCACCACTAAAGCACTTTTCCCCAAAGCAGCGGGTGAGCGAGGCGGGGGATGGGGGATGCGCTCCACCCGCCGCTGTCACCGCAGCGAGCCTGGCGCGCATGCGCAAGAGTGAGCCGTCGGGCCCGGCGCCGCAGGTCGCAGGGAGGCCGGGTCGCGGCCCTAGGTCGGTCCCAGCGGGCAGTGAGGGGTCGCTCGCGGCCCGCGCGGTCTAGGAGGGCGGCGCCCACGCGGGCAGGGTGGCGTGCGGGGCAGGCGGGCACACTCACAATTTCAGCATCCACTCGCCCTCCATCACCAGCGTCCAGTTGGAGGCGGTCATGGGCAGCACCCGGCTCTGCTCCTCCGGCGGCGCTGCCTGCTCGGGGCCGGCTTCCGCCGCTGCCGCCACGACGTGGGCGGCCAGGAGCGCAGTCAGCAGCTGGCCCCAGCGTCCGCCCGCCATGTTAGGGAGCGGGACGCGGCCTCCCTGCAAGAGGGTGTAAGGAAAGGAAAACGGTGGGCCCGCAGGACCGCTCCCGCCTGATAGGCCTTTCCAGGTAGTCGGAGGAGATGCCAGGCCGCCCCGCCTCCGCCCGACAGCGCCGACAAGCCGGGCTCGCGACACGGGCCAACACCGCCTCTTATCGGCCTGGGCTCGCCGAGGCCACGCCCCCAACCGCCTCGACTTGCCGTTGCCCGGGGTGTCGGTTGCCTTGGCAACGGCCGCCCTTTCTGCGTGACCCCTCCCATCACAGCTGAAAATAAACAGATGACCCAACGTTGCTTAAGTTAGATCCTGGTCAGCGTGTGCCCGGGTTTCGGTGAAGAGGGGTGATTGACGCGCATGGGTGCTTGCTTCTAAAGGGAACCATGGCCAGTAATTGAAAAATTCATCCCCTAGGCAATGGTAGCAAAAATGATAACGCACTGCAAAGCAAATCTTTTTAATGAAAAAATGGAGGGCAGTGTGCGCATCTCCTGATAAAAAGGAGAGGAAAATTTAAGTACTCTGCCTGTGTGAATTGAAGTATCACTGACTAATGTAGAACTAGTCAACTGGACTAAGTGAAACTAGACTATGCACTTGTATTTTTTACAAAAATTTCAGTTTCACAAAAACTTAAAACATGGATACATCGAGTTAAAAAATGAGTATAAAATAAAAATGAGTCAGTTAATAAGAATATTGCCAGTTGGAATAAAATGGACCTTCCCTTGGCTACAGTTTTTTCAGGTCTAAAATGAGAGTAGCCTTAAGTGATCTCTACATCTCTTTCCAAATTCATATTAGATGCATTCTGTACCTTGAGATCACCAAGGCACCCTCAGTATGTATGACTGAATTACAATTTAGAGGGTGGGTGGGCCTTTTCAAAGTGTGCTTTGTAAGAATTTATTAGGTGTGCAAAGCATAAAACTGGTTAATGTGGTCAATATGTCCTGAAAAAGTGTGGTTTCTGTCCTGGGCTTAAAACAAAGACAGCTATACAACTAAAAGGATTGTAGGGCACATGAGATCAATCTCCAATCAGTATGTACAGGAAAGATTAATTTTGCCTGCAAAGATCTTATCTGAATTGGTGTTAATTAGTAGTAGCTCAATTCTATGTGGAGCCAGTCCTTATCATCAAAATATGAGACTGAAATATACAAGCTACTGTAAACTTGGAAAGTGTCCTAATAAATATTACTAAGAGTCACTGTTAAGGTATACAGAGCAATCCTATAAACTCATTAAAAACATTTTATTTTGCCTATAAGAAGAAATGATATTTACAGGAATTCTATCATTCTTTCAGTGCAGCTTTGTATATATGTGATTGGTAAAAAAAAAATTTCTTAAAAATAATGATCTACTATTAAGGAAATACTATTCATTTTGTTGGTTTTGGATAGTAAAATAGTTATGGATGAAATGATATGATGTCTACAATTCACTTTAAAGCATTCCAGAAATAAAATTTGGGGAAAAGAAGGCAGATGGATGAAACAAAAGTGGTACAATGTCAATCAATGTTGAAGCTAAGTTCATTTTTGCTATTCTTTCTACTTTTGTGTATGCTGGAAAATTTGCAAAATGAAAAAGTAGAAAGATCATATCTGAGGCAGAAAGGAAACTCATTGCTATAGCTCTTCCTATGTCTAATACAAAGTATATGTTCAAGGATCACATTTCTTGGCCTTCAGTAGAAAGGAATATCGCAAGAATGTGTGGGAGCAAGTGTGTGGAGGGGTTGGCACAGATCGCAGTGTGGGAGCGGCTGCCATCAGACCATGGTTGGTATCTTGGTCCTGACACTTCCTACCTGTGTGACTTGAGGGTAAAACTACTTAATGCCAAGGCTCTGTTTAAATGCAGATAATAATACTGCATAAGGTGGCTGTGAAGATTAAATGAGATAAATACAAAGCCTAGCAAAAGGTATGGTTAACAGAGCTTATGTATTATTATTTGGTGGCAACAACATGCTATAATGCTTTTAAGGTTCTCTGTTTTCCCTAGATTAAAGCCAAATTAGCTTATCATGGTACACAAAAGTCCTTCACAATCCAGCTTCGGTTTTGCCCACTTTACATTCCACCATTCCCACATCCACAAGCTCCAGTGACACAGAGCTACTCCCCATTCATTGCCCAGGCACAGGATGAACACTGGTGAGATCTCTAAGAGTGCCATGAGGTTGGGTCAGCAATGGTTTCCCACCCTGCTTCCCCTTCTCTAGCATTGAAGAGGGAGTTAAAATCCAAATGCCCTTTCCCTACACCCACAGATCTGCATGTTTTTCACTAATGTGTCACATTTCTGTGAGAGTGTCCATTCGCGAATTTACTGTGTAATCCACATCACATTATTTCAGTTACAGTCAGGTGTCCATATTAAATAGTATGTTGACATTTGTTGAACAAAGAGTTGGCTCCTTTTTTTTAAAACTCTTCCCCCACCATTACCTTCTCCCTGACACCTCTTCCCTACCATTTAGGATGACAAAGTGTTTAAACAGAATAATGGGTGAGTCTCTCTGACTCCGCAGTACAGCAGCAAGTGACAACCAAGGAAGCAGTTTGCATGGCTAGAAACCTCCCAGAAGAGCAGGGAGGGACACCCAGCTGTAACAATGCCACAGCCACTGTCTCATTAATCCGTTGTCCCGACCTGCAGGACTATCAACGGGGGTCCAGGACCTGGAGGAGAGAATTGAAAAAAAAAAAAAAAAGAGAGAGAGGCAAGGGAGGCAAGGGACACAAAGAATAACCAGCAAGACAGGATGTCTGATCAAGCTGGCACAGTTTATTGTTTGCAGGCTCAATTTATACAGGTTAGCAAGTAAGGGGTGGGTCAGGAGATAATTGGACCTTAGGTGGCGCCGGCGGGGAGGTGTAGAGGGGTGATTGGGGCTTGGTTGGCGCCGGCGGGAACGGAGGACCCAGAAGAGAAGCGGGGAGTTCGCCATTTTGGGGGTGGGGGCCCTTGGGAGGGAGGTTTTAAGGGAGGGGCTTTCCCCTGGGGCAGAGGGTGTTTCTTGATTAACAAAGGACAGAAAAAGCACATGTTGGGAGGTAGCCTAACCACTAGCTCTAACCTAGGAGTTCACTAAATGCGTTTCTTGGTAATAGGGGAAAACTTGTTTCTAACGCGTGGATGGATTGATTGTTGCTGACTTTACAGGAAAGACTTAACTCAAACGTTGCTGTTGTCTTAAGGCTTTTGTGACCGAGTCTGCCTAAAGGCCCACAGGTTTGCTCCCAACAATCCATACTCTCTAAACAAACAAAAAAACCAAGGTGCTTGTATGCCTTCTTGCTCCTTCATTCTGCTTATGATACTCTTACCTAGTGAATCATTATTCAGCCTCTGTCATGTAGCTCACATTGTACCTCCAATAGCTGTGCTGAATTAGCAGCTATCTCTCCTTACATCCAATAGTTCTTCTTCATATAACTCTACCACACTTCTTTCCTATTCTGAAGTAATTATACAGTTATCATCCTTTCCACTCACTCCTTCAAACTCCCCTGGGAACTCTTCAAAGTTAAGGGCTTTGCCTTCTTTAATGTTGTGTTTCCTGCATGGTGGAATTCCCATGCCATAGGGATACTGGGGGGCAGTCTCCCATATGGCCCCAATATCCCCACCTCCTGGGATCAGGCTGTTGTATAACCATCTCCCTTTGAGTGTGGGCTGGGCCTAATGACTTACTTCTAATGCAGACATATGGCAAAAATAATGGGATATCACTTCTATGATGAGGTTACAAACAACTGGGACTTCCATGTTTCTCTCTTGCTTGCTCACTCTGAGACACTCAGTGCACTACTCCATGTGATAAGGAACTAAGAGCAGCCCCCGGCCAACATCTTGTGAGAAACCAAGGCCTCAATCTCAGCCCTGCAGGAACTGAATCCTGCAAACAAAAAACCATGGGAGTGACCTAGGAACAAATTCTTCCCCTACTCTTGAGATGACTAAACCTTACAAGTGGCCCAGAGCCAGAGGGAAAAGCTTACCTGGGCCCTCTAACCCACAGATACTGAAACAGTAAGTGTTGTTTTAAGCCACTAAATTTGCAGCAATTTGTTATACAATAATAGGGAACTAGATCAGTGCTTAAAATGCAGAATAACAATTTTAAGAAGATTGGTACAGGGTATACAAGAAAGAGCTTTTGTCCCTAGAGTAGTTTTCAAAGGTGACACTGTGGGGCTGCTATCATCACAAAATACATGGTTCCTAGTAGGAAAAAGAATTTCTTGAATTCTGATGATATAGTCAAAGAGAGGGGAAGAATGTGGTAGATGCATATCCTGTTCCCTTATTTCCCAGCCTACACAAGATTATGCTTCTATACCTCCTTTGAAGTTAGGCAGGCCAGTATAAAAGTGTTCTCTTCTCCTGCTATGAATATTTTAGAGAAAAGATCCTGGTCTAGCAGTCTACGAGACTACAGAGAAGCCTGGATTGCTGAGGTGTCTCATGGAGAACCATTGTCCTGGATGGTCTTCCTTGGATTCTCAATGGACTTGGCATTGGCAAGAAATACATTTTATTATGTGAAGCCTATATGGGTTAGCTGCATAGCTAACCACTCCCAATATCATGTCTCATGATTCTGGGGGTTGATGGGCTCAGCTGGGCTATTTGCTTTGGCCTTCATATGTTCACAGACACTTGGAGGCTAAGGCTAGAGTTATTTGAAGTCTTTTGCACTCACAAATCTGTCACCTAGTGGAGGATATCCAGAATGGCTGGAGACAGGTGCTGCATCTCTCCTACATACCTGGCCCCTCCATGTGGCTCCTTGGGCTTCCCTTCAACATGGCAGTCTTCACTGTCATATTCACTTTCTCCTGAGTGAGAGTTTCCAGAGGCCTACAAGGAAGCTGCACTGGTGCCTAAGATCTCACTTTAGAAGCCTGAGAATGTCACTTCTACCATATTTAATTGGTCAAACAAGTTATTAAAGGCCAGCACAGGTTAAAGGGAAGAGGAATTAAACTTTGCTCCTTAACAAGAAGCAGCAAAATAAATTGTGACATTCTTACAACTATCAAAAAGCCTCTCTGAAAACTTGTAATTGTTTGTCACTGGAGCATCATCTAGCCACTCTAACTAATCCACTGTCTTCCACTGATGACCTAATTAAGAGTAGTCTGGGAGGAGGGGGGATATTGGGAGGATGATACTTCCAGAAAGCAGAGTGG